GTGTGCTCATAGCTCTGTTCATTTTGGTCTGGCAGGTTAGCCTGAACTGCACCAAAATACTTATTCTTGAAGCTAGGCTGTGAAAGAGGAGCACAAATCCAGACGATGAATGTTAGCAGTTTTTGCAGCTCTCTATTTCTTGAATGTGGGTAATACCTCTTTGATAAAGAGAGGCTTTTAACATCTGATTCCTTAAAAATCACAACATTTGATAACTGATGTGTAGATCTGGGGGTTACAGGTAGCAGTACTGGTTTCTGCAGAAATGCAGATGTTTGGGTGGTGCAGAATGTAAAGATTTATTTAGCAGGGTCACAGGCCTGTTAGCAAAGTTTTCCATCCTCTGCTAAGAATGACAGACTGTGGTGGTCCAGCACTTTGTATTCCCGGTTGTGTGAAGCTGCTGAGGAGTTAGCTGTGAAGTTAGTTAATTAGTCTAGTGTATGGAAGGCAAGCCACCTTTGTTTTCCCTACTGGTTTTATTTGTCTTGCTCAGTAGGTCTTTCCACAAAGTGTTTTCTGTATTTAATTCATAGTCTGCTGAGTCAGCTCTGGTCTTTAGGCTGCGTGTATTCCAGCAGGAAACTTTTCCTATTTGAATTGCTTTGAGGGCTTTGTTTTCTTCACATAGTTAGTCTTTGGAGAAATAACTTACCTCATTGGTTCTTCTGATCAGCAGTCATGTAAGATTAAAACCTGTTTAACTTTCCAAAGAGGAATCACTGCATTGTTTTATAACATTGTAGTGAATCTTTTGAAAAGTTTGTCTCCTGTCAGGTATACTTGCAAAAGAAAATCTGATATATTTTTTGAGAAAATGGAAGGAGTGAGATTTCAGAAGTCTAGGCTAGAGTTTACCACTCAGATCCATTTTATATCCTTGAAGATCAGCCCTTAAGTGCATAGGTTGCGTGCGGTGTGGTGATGCTTTTCTTATTTGAACTGACCTGTCACTTTCTTTTTCAGAGCCCTCTTGATAGAGCCCAAGCAGCCAAGGACAAAGGAAACAAATATTTTAAAGCAGGAAAGTATGAGCAAGCTATTCAGTGTTATACTGAGGCTATCAGCCTGTGTCCTCCTGAGAAAAACCTTGATCTTTCTACCTTCTATCAAAATAGAGCTGCTGCCTATGAACAACTGGTAAGCAATTAAAGATAATTATGTGTTTATTCTAAAAAGTTGCATTATAAATTATGTATTTTGTCACTTTTGTCCACTGCAAGATCTGAGGTGGTGTGATATCTGCTGTCTTCACAACAAGATGCTGTTGCTTGCAGCTATTTTTCCACTAGCTCATCATACTTTTCCACATATAAATAAAATTATTTTCTGTTAACTATTCTCAGTCTGTCTCATGTAATTCTTATGTGTCCCTATTAAAGCCCAAGACCTAAATTTTTCACGTGTGGAAGTAACATTTACTTTTTAGCTGAATATACTTGATATTAATTTTAGAAGTCCACCAGTGTTGTTTATTATGGTATCAATAGATTTGCTTATGAGGTCAAGTTGGTGAGCTGTATAAAAGAGTGAAAAAATTGGCTTTGTACAGTCTGAAGTATCAAATTAGAGACTGTGTGGTTAGAGAAATCTAGTCTTTAAAGTTAGAGGAGAAATATAACAGTTCTTGTCTAATCAAACTACTTATAACACCAATTCATGCCATAATGAGTTTTAAATGTATGTGGTTCCTCTTTTTCATTTATTAGAAAAACCTGATTTTGATAGTCAATTTTGCAGATCAGTGGATTTTTCGTTCTTAATACCCTTGAGCAGCTCTACTCCTACATGTTAATTTGTCATCCCTTTGTAGTAACATAGCATAGTAAATTGAAATATTTTTTTAAAAGTGCTTCATCTCTGTGTTAAAATTGTTTGTTGGTTTTCATTATGTTTTCATCTTTTTTCTTCTATTTGTTTTGTACCAGTCTTTCAGTCCCAATGTCACCTCCTCCAAGATTCTTTGCATCAACTCATTATCTTCTCCCATATGCTTTGTACAATTGTCTGGTTTCGTTTTTCTGTAGGAATTTCTTTTCTGTTTTGTGGCTCTTCTGGTGCAGGTGGCTTCCAGTGGTGCCTGGCAGTTTCTTACTGAGAAACTTGCAGAAATAGAAGCAAGCAGGTAGAACCAGAGCCCTGGGAACTGCAGCTACTGTTAGGTGGGCATGACCCTGGAGTTGGTAGTGGAAAGCTAATATAATGCAACTGAGTAGGGCCTCTTTCATTGTGTGTTTTTCTCTCCACAGCAAAAATGGACAGAAGTGGCACAAGACTGCACAAAGGCTGTTGAGCTTAATCCTAAATATGTAAAAGCTCTCTTCAGACGTGCAAAGGCTCATGAGAAGTTAGACAATAAGAAGGAATGCTTAGAAGGTGAGTGTCTCTTGATGTGTTTACTTAAAAGTGGAATTAGCTCAGGTGCTTTGGAGATGGTAACTTCTGGAATTGTTTTTACTTCTGTAACTACAGTAATATAGAATTACTTATTTAAAGCCATTCATAGCTACTGCAGATACATTTTCTTCTCTTGTAATAAGAAAACTTTTCCCATTTTTCAAGCTGTCATGTGCTTAGATCTGAAATAGCTGCTGAGAAGTTGATGTTACTGTGGCCACTCAAGGTATTCTTTTTCCAGGAAACTCCCTATGCTTTAGAATAGAATTCATCTAACATGCTGAGTCAATAACCCAGACAACAGTCATTCTACTTCCATACAGTAAACAAACTTTATTCCCTGCTTGTTTTAGAGAAGTGGTACTACTACAGAAACCAAGGTGGTTTTGCAGGTGGAGATACATGGTCAGAAACAGGAGTATTACAGTCATCTAAATGCATTTGGCAAGTATTAAAAGGAAAAGAGCTTCATTAGCACTTCCTTCTGATGTACAACTGTTACAAAAATTGAAAATTGGAACAGATTTAACCCCCCCCCCTTTTTTTTTTTTGTATTAACACTATGTATTTGACAGAAAGTACTGTGTCAAATCCTTCCAAATACTGTTCCTAAGAGAATACATTTTGAACTGTCAGGAAAATGTGACTGAGAAAACATGAAAATTAAGGAAAACTGCAGGTCAGTTGTGTTATCTGAGAGGACTTTTGAACTAAGGGACACTGCTTGAAGGGACCCATTTAAATTTCATCAAGTGAAATAATTCCTTCTGATGTAAGGTTAAAAACACAAATGAAATTTTCAGTTGTGTTCATTATCAAAAAGGACAGAAAATCAGACAGTGATCTGACTAGCACATCTAACTGTTAAATGAAATCAGTTTCATTATGTGTAACAGCTAAGAATTAGGTCTGCTAAAATAGAAGGGAAATAAGATGTGGAATTTTTATTTATCACTCTATTTATTTATCTGTTGGCAGAACGCCTTTCTGCCCTGTAAGACCATAGTGACTAGAAAAGGACTACTTGGGTCATTGAGTGTAGTCCTTTGCAATCACTAATTGACCAACAACTGCATTTCCAGAGCGCTATAATAAAATCTAAACCTTATGTAGTTTCAATACACTGACAGAATGAGAAAAGCCCCAAGAAAGATCCAGTGTCCTTGTCATAGTAGGAAGGCTTTTAAATGTAATTCCTTTTTAATGTTAGTAACAGCAATTATTTTCAGCCTTGATTTGTGTTTGATTTTTAGCTTGCGTTTTTTTCAGATCTGAAAATTACATGCTTTTTCTGAACTCCACCAGTTTTCTAATACAGTACTGCTTTTACCTGCCAGCCACATAAGGCCAGTAAAATCTCAGGAACTAGGGTATGTCTGTGAAGTGGAGGAAAGCAAAACCAAACAGACCCAGAAACCCCCACCACCATCAACAAAAACCCCCTCCAATGATCCCTGGCAATATAATTTGGGAAGATGTTGCTGCTTCACAGCTGCCTGCTTTGGGCAAAGCTTGTCTGCTAGTGCACACTAGTTTTCATGATCTTTCTGGGTGTAACATGTTTTCCTGGGGACTCTGATGTGCTACTTGACCATGGCAGAGTTGCAGGGAGTTTCTGTATAAATGATGGCATAATAGCACCTATACCAGTGTAGAATTACATAAACTATACTAAAACTCCAGGGTAAGAGACTTGCTTTTCAAGTGTATTCAAACAATACACTGATTTTTTCAAGTCCAAGCTCTGTTCATCTTCAGTGATACTTAAGTGAAAATTAAATAGGAAAAATGAGTGGTACTATTGCATTAACTAGAGGATCCAGAGAAATAATGTTAATGTATCATAAGAGCACATTTCACACTGCAAAGCATGATTCAGGCAGCAATGGGTTAACATTTGCAAAGGCCTCTATGTGTGAATGAAAGTGATGTGATACAGGCTAGCACTTTAAATAGACTAGCAAGGTATTTCTCTTAAACTTGCTCTATTCCAAAGTCACGGAGATGAGCAAAAAAATTTGAGATATACTATGGGAATATTTCTTAAACTGAGGAAGAAGTGAGGTGTGATGGGACTGAACGGGAATTTTAAAAGTAGAAAATTTGGACCAGTCCTAGAAGAGAAGCTGTGTTAGCACTTTTAATGTGAACATAATATGAACATAATTACTATCCTAAAGTTTCCAAATTGTGAAAGCCCCTGCTGGAGGTGTACGTTTTCACTGTTCATCTACGTGTGTTTGTCTCTAGATAAAAACAAATGTAATTACTTTCATTCACTGTCATGAAGTCCTTTTATCACAAGATCATTTCGAATACAAATTTGTATTGTATTGGAAAACATGGTAAATACAGCAAACTGGAAACAGAGGCTTTTACACTCAAACAGGATGTGTATTAGTTTGACAATGACTCACTGTAACTGAGCCCATTTTAGTGTACTCCAGTGATTATCAGAATTTGTCTTTAATCTCACTTTTGTATGTTGTTTCCTAGATGTCACTGCAGTCTGCATTTTAGAAGCCTTCCAAAACCAGCAAAGCATGTTATTAGCTGATAAAGTTCTTAAACTGCTTGGAAAAGAAAAGGCCAAAGAGAAATACAAGGTAGGACTTGTGATATTGCTGACAAATTCTGATTTCACCTGCCTGATTGTTGAAATGTTAATTGTTGGCGTTCTGTCAGTTGTTGTAAGCAAGTCACTGCCTTCATCTGCTAAAGTGTAAGAATTGGCATGAGCGGTTTCATACAGAGCTACTGTTGTACCAATGTTGTTTTCCTTTGGGACCTGTCCAAAGCTTTTCAAACCTCAGTAGGGAAGAGATCTATTTCTAACAATTGTTTTTCTTTAATAATCAGATTTATTATGAGATTAAGAAGACACCCTAAGTTGGTGGGCTGCCCTACATGGGGCTTTTCTGGACTTGCAACATAGTGGAAATGGGATGTGTTGAACAGCAGTAGCATATCAGGTGGTTGAGTTAGGTATGTGTGTTGAGATAGGAAGGTTTATAAATAATAACTGAAAATATGTAAAAATATTGGTTCCATATGTAATGAGCAGCTTAAATGAGAAGGGTGATGATTGAGGACTTTTTCCCCCAGGTTATTCTTCATTTTATAAATAGATATTTCGTATATGGAAGATCGAGTTGACAGCAGAGTTCCTATGTTTTAGAAAGTGATGAAATAATACTGAGAGTTGCTATGTTTTAGAAAGTGACAAAATAAAACCATTTCAAGGTTGGGGCTGCCTTTTTTTTTTAAAAAAAAAAGGACAAAAAATTAAAGAAAAGTGAAAAAACGTTGCTTAAGAAAAAATTATACAGTGTGAAGTCACATCTTTATATTAGTAGTTAGACTTCCTGATTCTGTCTTGAAAAATACACCTTCATCTTCTGACTACCACAGTTTACTTGTGGCAATCAATCAGAGGATGTTTCTGTTCCATTTCGGTAAATAGGTGCTCATACTTGTACTGTTCTAGTTTGGCACTCAGACCTCTTTCTGTTAACGTTTGGGAACTGTAGAAAGGATAAATATGGAAGTATAGGGGTAGCCAGGAACAGTCATTTTAAGTGGCCATAGGTTTACAAAAAAGTGAGGACAGGTATTAAAACATTCTCACTTGTTGTTAAAACATTCTTGCTTGGTTTTTGTGACAGTGGTTGAAATACTGAAATCCATGTTGGTTTTGAGATGCTAAATTTCTTTCCTATAGGAACTCACATAAATGTGTGGTGTCAAGATAACAGAAAATGAATTGTGCTGTCTGTGGTGATGGTAACATCATAACATAGGTGTGTTTCAGATAGACAATATTATGATAGAACTTGATAGGGAAATTCAGAATAGTGCATTCAGACTTTTCTTGCAGGAGGGATTGAATTAATTCTTGTGTGCAGTGTTCATTTTGAGCAAGAAATATTTTTCTGCTGTAGAAAGGATTTTGTACCTGAGAGGTGTTACTAGGAGGACTTCAAGTAAACTGTGCCGTACCTGCGGCAAGCTCCACACAGAATTAGGACACTGCCTCATAAGTCCTCATTGTAACAATAGCAGCTTCTCTTGGAGAAGTTAGAGAAAAGGGGAAATTGCCATTCAGAATCTACTTTAATTTAGGCTCATGCTTAAGCTGCCATCATGCATTTTTCACCCAATTTATGTGCACACACACAGCTCTAGTACATGTACCAAATATCTTAGGATGTCCTAAGAGTCTCTCTTGAATATCTTCACTTTATTTCTACTGGTGATGGGTATAGCATTCTAATCTGAAGCTTAAATAATCCCTAAATGTTGAACTGTCAAGTCAAAAAGATCAGACTATCAAATGAGATAGTGGAAAGTCATACATTGGTTCTTTCACAAATGAAGTTTTTTATAATAACTTTTTTTATTCATTTCCATATTTACCATCTGATCTTACCATCTAATGACTTGAAATTACATTTTTCTGTTTCAGAATCGTGAGCCGCTGATGCCCTCACCACAGTTCATTAAATCCTACTTCAGTTCTTTCACAGATGATATAATCTCCCAACCTTTGCTTAAGGGTGAGAAATCAGATGAAGATAAGGATAAGGAGGGAGAGGCTTCTGAAGTAAAAGAAAAGTGAGTGTACAGTACAGTTGGGAATTGTTTGGTATTGGGATTAAATTTTCAGTGATTTTGAAATGCTGCTCAGTGTAACTTGCTGTTGGTTTTATGGTACTTGGCATGGGAAACCCTGTGGTAATAAAATGAGCCTATGAAATGAGATCAGTATTAAAAATGAAACTTATGAAAGCTGACTGGCTAGTTCCAAACTGTAGGTGGCTTTGATCCACTAAAGAGATGAAGGACAATGAGACTGGGAAGATATGCTGATATTTGCTACACTATCATAGTCAATTTTGAGAGATGGGAGGACTAGAGAGTGCTGAATGATGCTTCTTGAGAGAGGAATGGTTTATACTGAAGGACAGTTTCCAAGGAAGAGAGCAAATTAGTCTTTGGATTGGAAAGGAGAAGACAAGCTATGAAGAGGGTCTTTGTTAATGGAAACGATGAATTTACAGCAACGGAGGCTGGAAGGGTGTTTTATCTTTCTGGAATCATATTGCACATAAATGAGAGGTTTGCTCTGACAAGGAAAAGCTTGAGCTTTTTCTTTTTTTGAGTGGAGCTTGAGTGGTGATGGTGATGGACCATATGAATGGTGCTTTAACTTACTATGCTGCTTTCAGTTTATTTTTGGAAGATATCACTGTTGTCAGTATGGAAACCGTTGGAAACAGTGTTACAATTTATTTATTTTTTTCTTTTAAAGTAAGGTAGGGTGTCTTGATCTACAGGCAGATTCACTGAATCCAGGACACTTAGCTATGGACAAGGCAGTGCTTAGTGTAATTTTTGCTGTGAAAGCCTTCCTTCCACATATGAACTGCACATTGCTAGGTTTAATATTTCACTTTCCTGACCTAGAATTCCATTCCAGCCCTCTTGTTTTTAGGCAGAGATTATCGCGGTTCTTAATGTGGGAAATAAAAAAAAAAAAAAATAAAGGGACAAATGAAGTTCAAGTTAAATAGTTTTAAACGTTTTTCTTATTTCCAATGTAATGTGGCCTTTCTTTGTCTAAATTGTTTTCAATCTGTGATGGCTCTGTCCAGGAATGTTTGTAACTTTACTTATGCTGGTATAGCAAAAGTTAGTATTTGTTAATGATTTAATGAAAAATCTGAATTGAAGTTGCAGCGTTCAGTGAATACACGTATTTATACAACTGTTCTTGCATCGGTTACAGCTCTGGCTATTTGAGAGCAAAACAATATATGGAAGAAGAGAACTATGACAAAATTATCAGTGAATGCACAAAAGAAATTGAAGCAAAGGGAAAATACATGGCAGAAGCTTTGCTTCTGCGAGCTACTTTCTACTTACTTATTGGCAATGCAAATGCTGCCAAGCCGGACCTAGATCAGGTCATCAGCATGGAAGATGCAAATGTGAAGGTAAGAACCTGTCTCAGCTGGATTGTAGTTTGGGTTGAGAAAATGTAGAAGTTAGATGATAAACTTGCAAGAAGTCATTTTTTTCTAAGTTTTCAGATACTTTAATGGGAGCGTTCGGGTTTGTTTATTTACTAATGTGTCTCTTTATTCCTGACAATTTTTTTTTTCCAAGGGCTTGTTGGCTTTTGAGACAGCTGTGCTAAGTAGTACAAACTAAAGTACAGAGAAAGTTGAATGAATTGAAGGTTTATCCAGTCTGAAAAATCAGTTCATAGAATAGAGAAAAGCATTAATTGTACTTGCATGTTGAACTGCTTCAAAAAATGCTGATGTATTTGTAAGCATAGGGAACCTGTTTATAAAGGGCTTCTGAGGGACTGAAAATCCACTGAGGTGGAAGCATAGGCTGGCATATTTGAAATTAAGCAAGGGAGTTGGTTAATTTAGAATCAATATTACATGTATTTCTGCTTAGAATGGATGAAATCTGTCAATGGGAGAAACTAGTCAAATTAAAAATTTACTGTAATTGCAACAAAGCCTTAAACCTGGAGGAATGTTGGAGTAGCTAATGCTTCTTTGAACTTTTTGTACAGCTCCGAGCTAATGCTCTGATCAAACGAGGAAGTATGTATATGCAGCAGCAGCAACCTGTGCTGTCTACTCAAGACTTTAACATGGCTGCTGATATTGATCCTCAGAATGCAGATGTTTACCACCATCGAGGACAAGTAAGAAACATTAATGATTTTGTCTCCATATTTGAATATTTCAATATATACTAAAAGAAAAATAAAGATCAGTACATCATCAGAGACACTTTATACTGTTTGTGGCAGAAAACCATGTACTCCTAATTTGGAACTGTTGCAGAATAAACACACAGTCAAATTTGCAGGTTCAAGTCAGGCAAAAGCAGTTTTATTACTGTAGTGATAGGAAACAACGCAGAGCCACAGGTTCAGCCCTCTGTCAATACCAGCTCTGACTTAAAATTGCTAGGGCTTGGTTACATTTACAGAGGATATGAGCTGCTCTGTGAAGGGGCCTGATTTGGCAGAGCAGCATCTGCATTGGAGGAAGTTTTGTTACAGTGGATGTAACGTGTTCCTGGTAACTCAGCATCTGCAACACTGCAGCCTAGACTTGCATCTGTTCAGCTCATCCCTCTCTGGCTTTTGATGCTGCTGGCTCCTTGGCTAATTTCTAGACCTAGAGAGGCCTGCTTCCACAGAACTGTAACAAAAACGCTGCTGGAAGAATAAAGGAAACACTACCATATGCATATATGCTAAGTTGTATTTGTAAGGAAGCCTTCCATGGATCAAGTGACTCTTGCCCTGAATTCATTAGATCTCTTTAGTGCTCAGAAATAAGAATTTTGTTATGTGTTGAATTGAAGGGAATTAAAATTTTCTGCGGATTGAAAAATAGTGTTTTACAGTAGCTTCACAGTAAAGTATGATGAAGCAAGCTCCACTCTTGTGGAGGAATGAGAATGTAAAAAAAAAAAGAAAGTTTAAATGCAAGCTGGGAAAACCAAAATGTTTCGACATCTAAATAGTCCACAGGCATTAAATACAGCAAGGCAGAGCGACTCGAGAAAATACAGCGTGGTTTTAGAGACTGGATATAATGCTGAAGCAGTAATGGCAACAGTCTAAAATGCAAGTATTTCTCAATCCCTACACATGGACATTGCCTTTTTGTGTATGAAACCAAAATTTACTGGTGGCTTTGTTATTTTATGACACTGATTTTTAGTCATGGGTTTTGTAGGTTTCTAGGCAGTTCTAAAACTGAACTGGAGATAATACAAGTAACTGACGCTAATTGAATTATCACTTAAGTGTCTGAAGCGCGGATTAAGTACAGAAATAGGATTTTCTTTCATTCTGGCTAGCTGAAAATCCTGCTTGACCAAATTGAAGAGGCTGTGGAAGACTTTGATGAATGTATCCGACTGCGACCCGATTCTGCCTTGGCTCAAGCACAGAAATGTTTTGCTCTGGTAAGTAACATGCTGGTGTTTATCTGGGTGCTTTTTCTTTTTAAAGAGTTCTGGAAAACATACTGTGTTTCTGTTTTATTCCCATTTAATGGAGAGTAGGGCAACAAACATCTCTCTATCTTTTAATAATAAGGTAAAGAATAATGCAGCAGTTTCTTCAGTCAGAGTAAGGGTTTGCTGCTATCATTTTGAAATGTGTATTGTTCAAACAGTAGGTCATGTTTTCTGTTTTGCGGTAGAGGAACACAAATCTTCACTCTAATTGTATCACATAAAATTTAGTTAAATAAAGCTTTAATGTTGTGGGAAATGGTCATCTTCAAGAAATCGGAAACAAACTATTTCAAGCTAGTACAATGCCTCTGCATGCAGGAATCTTCTGAGGACAGCTTTGCATGGTGTGAACAAGGAGGAATTCTAGGCTTGGAATTTCTAGTTTTTTGAAATAGAGGGAAGCTATTGGCAACTACCAGGCCTTAGGGCTTCCTTCTTTCACCCTTTCTCCTTTCCAAGTCTGCTCTGATAGAGACTTGGACACATGGTAGGTTCTAAACACAGATTTGGTAGGATGTACAGGCACATCACCTTCTGGAACTTGCAATTGTTACGCTGCATGCATCTCTTGGGGAAGGAGGTAGGGGTCTGATGAGCTCTTTTTTTGTTGTTTAATTTTTTTTCCTTTTTTTCTTTTTTCTTTTTTTTTTTTTTCTTTCTTGAATAGTATCGCCAAGCTTATACAGGAAATAATCCTTTGCCTGTGCAAGTAGCCATGAAGGGCTTCGAAGATGTCATTAAAAAATTCCCAAAGTGTGCTGAAGGCTATGCACTCTATGCTCAGGTACATTTTTCTCTCTCTTAAAGAAAATCCTGCATTGTCTTGCACTTTTTATCTTGGATAACATACATTTCTTCAAATAATATATGAAGATTTTTGAGAATAAGTTCTGAGGTAACACATGCTGTCTTTAATAAGCTACTTGAATTTACGTGTGTGGGTGTTCTGAGGTAGAGGGGGAATTGGTGGAGCAGAAGTGTAAGTGATGAGAGTCAAGGGTAGTTATTAGGGCAGAGAGGTACAACATAGACTTCCCTGTGAATTCCTGCATGTGTGTGGCATCTCACTTGATGGATGCCCTGGATTCTCTAGGTGCTTTGAGAGTTAAGTGTGTGGAACTAGGGTAACAGTTTTTGTTCTGCTACAAATGACATGTACTGGTCAAACAGAGTTTAGTGCAGATGTTCAGAGTACACTTGTAACAGAGACTGTCATTTCTTCTCTAAGAAAATGTACTGCTGGTTTTAGTACAAAGCATGAGCTGTTCTGATGTTAAGTAGGTAGGCAATATGGATTAATTTCCTTTTCAAAGACATATATTTGAAAAAGGAAGAAGTTGAGACTTGCAGGTACAGACTTTTAGAATGGTTTTTACTTGGAGTACACTTAGCACGTTGCTTGTAGATCTTCCATTACAGATGGTACCGTGATCAGTAATTTGTGCATTTAAGGCCTAGCAGCTTTCTCCTAAAAAGTCTCAATTTTGAAGCTTAACTCTGGTAACTGGTGTGCCTTGGCCTGCTTTACGATAAGAGAGCTATATCCAGTCTCACTTCGTCAATATGGTTTTAATTAGAATTAGCCTAGCACAGAGTGCGTGTTTTGGTTGCACATTGACGTATAAGGTTTCTCTTTTGATGCAGGCGCTAACTGATCAACAGCAGTTTGGCAAGGCTGATGAAATGTATGATAAATGCATTGACCTTGAGCCAGACAATGCTACTACATATGTTCATAAAGGGTATGTATTGAGTTTGCGATCTTTTTGGTCAAGGGCAGTTGGCATTATTTGGATGAATCAATCTGAATTGCATGTTTGTGTTTAGAAGTTTAGTCAGGAGAAACAACTTTGTGAAAATATCTTAGTGCTGTTATATGTATTTCTGCAGTTTCTCTTGACTAAACTGTAAATAACTTTCAGGAAAGTTTCATGAGTGTTCATTCCTTATTCAAGTATCTATTTGAAGTATATCTGACTTTTGCTTTAGGCCTATTTTGATTTCAGCTTTATGCTGAAGTTTTCTCTTTTATAAGACACACAGAGGCTTTTTGGGAGGAGTTTACCTTTCTTTGGAGTCATTAAACTGGTAACATGGCTTATGGAAGGTGACTTTCACATACATGTTTTTAAAAGCCATGAAGTTAGTCTAGCCTACCCTGCATTAAGAATTAAATACATCTGGGACTTTTTTTTTTTTTCCCCTTGCTTGATTAGGGTTTTGGAAGGAGTATGTGAAGTTTGTTCTAAATTTTCTTTCTCTTCTAGTTTACTTCAGCTCCAGTGGAAGCAAGATTTAGACAAAGGGTTAGAACTCATAAGCAAGGCCATTGAAATTGATAACAAATGTGATTTTGCATATGAAACCATGGGAACGATTGAAGTGCAAAGGTAATGTTGAATTTCAGTGTTAAGAGTTCTCTGTTGCTTTTTTAAATTACAGTAGTTCTTTAGATTTCCTTGTACGTCTTAAGTCATTCTTAAGAACCTTCTCCTCAGTGCTGGGCAAGGCCAGCTCTTACCTAAAGTCCTGATTTCTGTTCTCTAACTCTTAGGTAAAGCCTTCCTTTCTCTATGGCATAATTCTGCTTTATGATCTGACAAGTTCCCGTGTTCACCAATTTCATAGTTCCTGGACAACATGCAGATGAGTCTGTGTATGTTTAAATACATCCCTTCTGCATTTAAAGTGACTTCCTTAATCATTACTAGGTTTCCTGTGTATCTACAGTAGTCCTTAAACACCTTAGTGGACCATTTGTACTGAGGATCCTGTGCTATACTCTCAAGCCTGACGATTCGGGTTTAATTCTAAGAGGGCTGCAGTTTGCAAGTTCTCAGGGTAAAGAGGAAAGGCTAATGTGCTATCCTGTAACAGTCCATAGTATTATAACTGTGCCAAAGTTTGGGGTGTAGCTGAGAGTATAGTTGAGTCTTTTTTTTTTTTTTTTTTTTTTTTCTTACATGTCTAGGCATCAAAAGGACAGACAATTAAACTGTTGCCATGAGAAATTTTGCAAGCATTTCCTATTCAAATAATGTGAGTTCTTGTCTGTGCTAGTTTTCCTCTCTGGTATGCAAACTCTTTTCAAGGGAAATGAGAGTTCCTTTAGTTGTCCCAGCATTATCTTTGTAGTAAACTTGGTGTCCTGTGAAGAACACTTTATCCCCCACTAGCACCTGTGGGGGCTCTCAAGAGGAAGGCTGTTAAACAGGTGTCCTAGTTGCTCAGGCTTGGTGACAGCTTCTCTCAGTTTGCTCATCATCATCACAAGTTCTTGCGGTGGTTCCTCCTGAAGTCCTTTTAAGCTGGAAGTTGTGGAGAGTGTTAGTCTGAAGGGAAAAAAAGATGCTGTAGAGATGAAAAAATTGCTTTGCCAGTCTTGATTGGACTACATTTTGGTTTATTGCAGGGGTAATCTGGATAAAGCCATTGAAATGTTCAACAAAGCTATCAACCTAGCCAAATCTGAAATGGAGATGGCCCACCTCTACTCACTCTGTGATGCTGCCTATGCCCAGACAGAAGTTGCAAAGAAGTATGGATTGAAACCACCGACACTGTAAAGAAACGAGGAGGAAATGACCTTCTAAAGTGAAGTTGCCCACTTCAGCCAGCCCTAAAGACGCTGTTGCAGACCATGTTGAATGGTGGAACTTAGTTTTTTCCCGTTCGTGGTGTTGTCATTTGCTACATCTGTTAAATGTTTAGGTGTTGTGGGAGTGGTTGTTCAAGGGAGTATGCAGTTTTGCATCTTGTTCCTTCTGCAGCAAAAACCTTAAAGTGTGTTAAGGGACATAAAGTTGCAGGGGAACAAAAGGAGGATATTTTGGCCATGCAAATAAAAACTTCACACTGGTTCATTTTGGGCAATTATGTTGTGGGCGATTTTTGCTTTATCAAACAATATTACAGCATGTGGGTTTTTTTCCTGTTGATTTTAAAGGTAATACTAGTCAGTGCTGTAAAATAGGTTTCTTTTTTATATACAAGTAATCCTTGAGGGTTGATTTTAATTTTGCAAAAAGGAAAAAATTAATTTTCAAACTGTTTAATAATAGAGGGGTGTTTTTTTAAGTCAGTAGATGTGGAGAGAATCCCTGTAAATATATGCAAGCATGCACAATCTTCCCTTAAAGCCCCTCCCACCCTCTGCATAACTTAGAAATAGTCCTGTGGCAGCTACCAGGGAATTAATTTGATAGTTCTTATCCTCACCCCAGAAAGCCCTAGCATACTGTATAGGAGAGCTAGTAAAAAGGTTGGCTGGGGAAAGAGGTTGGGTGACACTGCTTCAGTGTAGGTTTGACTGGAAGAAAGGCCGTGTTCCTGCGCAGCAGTCCTTACTTGAATGTCATAGAAAATTGTTCTGGAGGGTTCCGAGGGACTTTCAAGAACAGAAAGCACTGCTGGGAGTAGAGCTGCCAAGGTAAGGTCATGCTTGCATATAATCTTTGTAATCTCTGACACTCTTGCTTAAATGCAACAGCTAATAGACCGTCTAAATTCTCTTCAGTCTCTAGAGACTGCTGTGTTCTGATCTGCTCCTTGTAACGGCCCCTTTGCAGGATTAAGTGAGATAAGGAACAAAGCGTAGGCTGAACTTTAAATAATGGATTTAGAATCTGTACTGGTTTTCTTGTTCTTTACAGCCTGTCTTGTCCAAGATTACAGACACTGTAGAAAGGAAGTAACTGTTCTGCAAATAGCAGATTGGCAAGTTATTAAATACTAGTGTAAATAGTCTTCCTCTAGCTAGGAACTTCACGGAGGGCTCTCTTGCTTTGGGTTGATCTTTCTGGCGTGGAAGTCAGTCAGTCCATCTTGCCTCTCTCTGGATTGATGTGGCTTAATAATCCTCATGCAAATACTTAACTGATGTAGCTTAATTTACACTAATTTGGGCTTCTTTCCATCCTGGAATCATAGACTTGCTTGTGCTGAATTGTCTGATATATTTCACCTTTTAAGGAAATGAACTATGCTGTGGTCGAACTGTCTTGTTGTGCCACCACATAGCGGCAGCTTGTATTTGCAACTTGACCTTACGTTCTCCCAGCAGCTACAGCTGAGAGTTCAAATGGTGGAGAGTAGACATTAAGATATAATCATTCTATTTTAGCTAGCTCAGTAGGTGATCTGAAATCAGTGTTGGTGTAGAATTGAAAGCATTGGAAGGTACTGGCAGCTTCTAAGGGCACTGCACCTAAGTGTCAAATGTCTTCTGGAACTTCCAATCTCTCCATCAATTACCTGAGAACAAAAATATGCCAGAGTGACTGGTGTGTCCTGTTCTCCTGAGGAGTTTTTATTCGCATGGCCTTATCTACATTGGCATTTTCTCCTCTTCGCCCTACCTGTACCCAATCCCTCACCCCACCCAATCAATTAAGGGAAAAAAGCATGTGCTGTCGAATACTAGCATTCCAAATCATCACAGACTTTTGCCTGTTCTTGAACTAGTTTGAAACTGCACTGAAAGGATGCATTGTCTGTAATTTTTTTTTGTAAATGACGTATCACCTGTAAACTGAAAAAATAAATATTACCTTCAAGTATCTCTCTCTGACATGTATAAGAACAGGTTTTGATGAAAATGTTCTCTGCAGTGGTGCTCTCTGTGCTTATTTGAGGTTGCTCTGAATCTAGGAAGAACTAACAGTGACTGACTCCATGTCATCTTCTCTCACTTCAACCTTTTAAGAAAAAATGAGGAGGAGACACGGAATTAACAAGTCTTATCTCCGATTGCTTCCATCACTCACAGAGGTATGATCTTGAGAGCTGAAGATTATGGGGGAAAGGAAATGCAGCCAGGAAAGCTGGGAATCTGAGTAGCTGACACCCTGTTAATGTGTGTAGGCAGGTGGATCCCTTTAGTGAAAGGGTTTGGTTTGGTTTTTTTTTTTTTAAATAGCTGATATAGTTCAGGTTTTGCTTTAAGCCAGGTATGCATGTGAACTCTGAGAAAAGCTTTCTTTAGTAGGGATTGAGAGCTGAAGTGAAACAAGTATTACTGTTATAATCTGTTGAAATAATGTAGGAAGCTAGTACTGAAGACTTGAATAAACCTGGCGTATCCCAGAGACTCTGGGAAGTTACTGCTACACATAGTTGTCTTGCATCTTAGTTCTGATCTTGTAAAATCCCTGCTGTTCATGTTACAGACAAGTTTGCCAACATGGAGATTAGAAGTCATGACTTGAATTACTAGGATCTAATTGCAGACTGAAAGCGAAGAGAGAACTAACATACACTGTAATTCATTCTGGAACTATGAAGAGCAGCTTAGGTGCAGCTCTAACCAGGCTCCCCAGCTGCAGTGGTAATGTCCTGGTTTTCAGCTGGGACAGAGCTGGGTTTCTTTTTAGTAGCTAGAATAGAACACTGCCTGATACAACAAGCATGACTGGGTTTTCTGCCATTTCTTTAAAAAGAATTTAAATTCTTGCAGGCTGAAATTCTGGAGCTACTTCAGGGCTGTTACTGGCTGGTTTTCTATCCTTACAGAATGCTGGTGCATATATATAATGGATACTTAAAGTGCCTGTTTTCTACCAACACAGAGACTGAGGATTGACTGCTTATCAAGCTGAGAACCGATTGTACTTTTATTCATTGAAACCTCCAAAAATTCACAGTCCCATTTGTGTCACTTGTGAGTGGATTGCGCTGGAGAACGCTAAAACATCCTGCTAAAACAAGGTGCTTAGAAGTTGTCCTGACAGAAGAGGACTGAGCTCATATCACCTCTTCAGCTGAGTTCTCCAAAGTAGCTTGCTACAGATGTGCATCTGTTGTCCCCATTTGAGTTTCCAGGCTACGGATTCTATTGTCTGTTGCAGGCTGCACTCTGCATTTTTAAAATTAAGTGGTCAGCCCATGAGAATCCTGCACTACTTTAATCCTCCAAAGGTAGTATTTAGTTTCTGCTCTGCTGCATGTTCAAGTATAGAAAGGGGAGGGAAAGACAGATGGAGTAGTTTAGAAAAGAGATGTATAGTAGTTGCTATGATTTAGAAGTTGGAGCCCAGTGATGGCCATCATGGATGGTGATTGTTGAGTATGTGGGAGACACTAATCTGCTGCAGGAGACTTGACTCAAATGGTAAATTGTTAATTTTTTTATATTTATTTTTCAACAAATAAATCTTCATTTCACCTTATGCTCTGTGGCTTTTTTCTTAAGAGTTTCAGTACAATATGTACACTAGAATGCAGGGAAAAGTCCAGACCAGAAAAGACCTGCTGGAATAGATAATGCCACTGAGTGGAATGGTGTGACCCATCTCTTGAGGGGAAATATGCCTCAAGGTTTGGCTTAATTTAACCATTAATTTTTTTTCTATAAAACACACACCTAGGTCAGTACAGAGAAGCCAAAAGAATATGTAAAAAAAAGTGAAGAGAGCAGCTGTGGGAAGAGGAGGATAGCCAAACATGAATAAAAAGGTAAGGAGGTTTTGGGGGAAACTGGTGGTTAGCTAGAGCAAGACAAACCCTTTTGTATTTTGAAATCTCCTTTAGCCTTACTGCTTTATCATTTTTGCTGCTGGAAAACTAAAAGCCTAGTTGTAAAGGCTGGATAGTTGCTTTTCTTTCATCCCAATCAAGGAAAAAAAAAAAAGTACCATTTGCAAATTCTTATTTTTTTTACATTAGAAGTACCAAGGTGTCTTCCTCTTAAGAAAAACAAACAAAAACCCCAACAAAATGCTAGGCTGGTTTTAAGTATGTTAAAGCCATCTTTAATAATCAGTTAATTAGTCTCTTCAGCAAAAGCAATCAAGTAAGGAGTGCTTCCCATGCAGCTGATGGGAATTGGCCTTTGGTAGCAATATGTATTTACATGCTGAGCAATTCTAGTGCCCATCTTCTGGAAGACTGGGGGCAGAAAGACTTCAGCAGTGCAGCAAATTTTCTTAGCCTTTTGACTGACTCCCTGCACCCTTTTCAGGTGAAGACTGCCAGGTAGCAGAATTAAAGCTCACGGGAATTGCTTTAACAAAATGGTTAACCTCCATGACTTCATCAATAAACAGGAATTGCAGTAAGAATTTAGTATGTGTATTCCAGGTAAGACACACGAACCAAAAACCTGTTATAGATTCTTCCAGGGTAGTGGTATGGCAGCCTCCTACACTGTCCCTAAGTAGTACAGAGCAGAATTTGTTTTGCTTGGGGTGTTACATGTTAAGCTTTCCAAGTTAGAAGCTGGGCATTCAAGGAACTTTGTTAAGACACATACAGCTAAGGACAGAGGTGGAAGAACTGTGCTTCTAAATTACCTGATCATTCACTGAAAAAAACCTCATAATACCAAAGCTGACTGACTTCAGAGGATTTCCAGAGAGAACAAGGTTCCCATTTCCATGTTCTACAGAAAAACCCCCAAAAGGTAAAGAAACATTGTGATGCATAAAAAACAATGTTAACTACTAATGTGGTCAACTGATTTCACCTCCATCTCTATCCCAGCTGTAAAATATTATAAAATACTAAAGTATGAGAGGAGACAGAAATGTTGTATTTGAATCAATTTAATCAATTTTAGAATTACACTACCAAATTGCAGGGGGGTTTTTGTTGTTGTTACATTTGCTGGGTTTTTTTCATTAACTGACACATTTAGCAGTAGACTGTGGAGCGACTGGTAAGGGAATCCTTCTGAAGACGGAAGCAGCAGCCGTTGTGCCAAGTGAACCTTCCCTGTTCACCCAGCTTCACTTTTTCATCTCTACACCATAGAGGTCACAACGCTTCTGGCTTAAGATAGGAATTTGTTGACGTATTTCTGCAAGTTTCTTCAGATCTGTGGGGATGGAAAAAAGAGCTATTAGAACAGCAGTCAAACAGGAAAGGTCCTGACTTGCTCTGAGGTAAGGCAGGGAAAAGAGCAGCTTTCCTGGGGAATGGGTCCGTAGGGGACTACAGCCAGGGCTGAAGGAAGCCTCAGCTTTGCTCTCTCGTGGGTAAGGAAACTGGAAGAGTATGGTCAAGTGTTCCTTGTTCTTGCTTTAATCTAGCAAAGGTGGAAAAGGGAGGGAAACACTGTATCATCTGTAATTGCACATGCAAACCCAAAGACTCAAAAAACCCTGTCTCTCCTTAGTCTCATGACCTGTACTCAAGAAAGCAAGCAGGGGGAAAGAAACCAAACCAACAACTTTACCCTTACCTATATCTGCGTATATAAGCGTTTCCTCAGCCCCAGCTTTGGCTATGACTTCACCCCTGCAAAATTAAGCACATTTGTTCACAGCATTAACACAGAGGTCTCAAGGCATCAGTCCAGTTGCTGCTGTTTGTACAAAGGGGGGTTCCTAGCCTTGATGGCTACAGCTGTAGAGAGAGGGCTGCCCTAAAAATAGCATCATAATTCTGGCATGTGACATAGACATATTTGACATAAGTATGTTACCAAAGATCAAGAATCATGGTAAGAGCAACTCTGAGAGTCAGTGCATGTGAACATGCAAGGTACCTCAAGGGGAAAGAAACAACTTCACCAGGAACAGCCATATATGGCAAAGACTAACACCTTCTCCTTTCAGCCTCTACTGGCTTTTAATAGGAGTATACTTTTACTCTGCATGAGCTACTGAACACTATTTATCACATCTCCAAACTAGGTGTTCTGTCACTGATTTAATCATACAACCTTAAAAGCTCAAGACATGGATAAAGCTTTTGGTACTTTGCAGTCATCTGGAAGAGAACTATCAGTGGGTTTATTTGAAAGAAAAAAGACTGCCCAAAGATTTGGTCACTTTTATCTCCTGTGCACCCACTTGTTTTCTGCTTAAGTCAGAACATGTCTCTTATGTAGCTGAAGACATTCTTCTTGTTCTTTCTTACATCAAAGCAGTGTTCTCTGAAGAAATGAAATAGTTCTGGGTAACCTGTTTAAGATGGTTCAGTTCTGCATGGAGAACTGCCATCATGCATAATAGACTGAACTTCAGGGACAAATTGAAAAGCTCAGCATCTTAACTAATGTTAAATACTACATTTTTAACCAATAAAAGGCAGATTTTTATTTTTCTTTTCTGAACTCACCATGGGTTTACTACAGTGCTGTGTCCCCAGGCAACATAGGATGCTTTCTCATCTCTAGCAGGAGATACGGTAGCTACGTAGACCTGATTATCAACAGCTCTGTGTACACAGAAAGATGAGGGAAGGGGGGAGAAGTGAGTAGAATATATTTTTTTTAATACCACCAATTAACAAAGCAGAGGAGAAGGAATTCACTCTGAAGGGCAAGCTATATATCCTCCTAAGGACTAGCCAAAATTGGAAATGATGTGAAGGTCAGAGAAAGCAGAGCCTGATAAGAGAAGTCTCTAGCACCTGCTCCAGAGTTAGGGGGTAGAATGAATTACAGGTTCATTCAGTATGTAGCAAAGTTGATTGAAGCTGACCAAATGGAGAAATAATAGTGCATTCAGGAATCTCAGGGTCTATTTCTGTCTGTAATTAGAGCAGTTCTCAGATGATTGGCTCTTTGGTCTAGAAGTCTGTGTGTGAAGGGTGCTTACAGAGCCGTGGGGAAAAGGTCCTTGAAAGGGTGTAACTGCGGAGGGGCTGGCAGCAGTGAAGGATAAGCATTTTCTGCTTTCCTCCTGGATAGCAAAATGATTCTGGTGCCTCATGCAAGGCCTGAGGAACAGTACAGCTCCAAGAGCAGAGTGGCCCTGCAGCACCACTTCTGATAGATAGCATCAGTTGGAACAGGAGAACAGTTCAGTTCCACATGCTAAAACCCCCCTGGAACAGGAGGATCAACTGTTACTGTGTTCTTACCGTCCCCTTTGTAGCAGTTCCCAATGAGCTGGTCCTGTTGTCAGGTTAAAAGCACCTGGATAGATCAGCAGCTGGCAACCTTTGTTAAAAGAAAATCATTAACCATCTTAAGGGGAAGATGGTTTACCCTACAGCAGCCCTTCACATTGAGATTCCAGGTTAGGTTTCTTTCAGTACTTCCTGTCCTCTGCCCAAAATAGAACAAAATAGAGTTGGTCCATGCACCACAGGGGTGATTACTGATGTCAAGCCCTGTGATACATTAGCAAGTGTGGGGACACACCCATCTCCATCAGGAAATGACTGTTCCTTTACTCAAGCACAACAGACATTTGAATATCTTATTTGAATAATAATGAAGTCTTGGCCACAAGATGCATTTTGTGTAACTGGGTGAGAATAAGAGTGAGTGGCTGATCGCACAGCTTGCCCAGTATGTACCACCCTGAAGTGGCTCTGCATAGTTCAGGCCTTGGCCTCACCTTTCTGTCCGTAGATTTGAGCCATCTCAGCAAATCTCATATCATAGCAGATGCCCAGGCCCACTTTACAGTATGCTGTTCTCAAAACACAAGAGACAACAGTCACATCGCTATCACAAGCACACAAAAGCAATCACAAGACTCTCTGTAGCCATCCTGCCAGCTGCTATTTTATATGTCTCTCGGCAACAAGGGAAGCTATTTTTAAATACATATCCTTATCTGTAACAAGCACTGGCTATTTCTGGGGGACAATTCATGCTTCATGATGAGAGGAATACAGGGACACCCCTGTATCAGGGCTTTGTGTAAGGTATTCCTCTCTGGTTTAGCTTTTTCAATTATTTTATTTTCAAGAAAAGAAAGCATTCACTGCTCTTCATGGACTAAAGAAACTGCAGTCATGTACCTTCTTACAGCACGCACAATGCAAGGAGGAAAAAGTGACCACGGGAGACAAGACTCTTGGGAGAGCTCAGTAAACAGAACATGTTAATTTTTGAACACTGGGCAGGGCAGGGAGGGGGATTAGCTGTCTTGCTTTTTTATCTGATGTGGTTGATTCAGGAATGTTGGAATGGGATTTACAGTTAATTGTCTCTGTTATGATATCATCCTCACATGAAACAATGTGCCAGTGCAGCTCTTTGCTACATACGTTCTTTTCCAAGCCATGTTTTACCAGAACCATTTTAAAGATGTAACTGCTACAAAAAATACAGTAACTTCTCTTTAACAAATCAACAGGATCCCTACTTATTAAGGGAAGTGCCATGATGTATCCTTCAACCCTTTCTACTCCTCTGTCTTTCTGCAATCTCATTGCCTTTTTAAAAAGTTTCAGAAGTGACCCATGTGCTTGGAACAAACTTAAACTATATCTGCTGAGGTTGGCAAGTGCCTGATATAAATCTGATGATAGTCTAAAACCCATTGCTGGGGAGGAGGAGGGGGATGAGAACTCCAGAATGACTGAAGTGTAATCGTGGTAGAGCTCCTTGAAGAGAGGGCTTGTCTTATACTCACGAGTATCAAACACAGAGAAACTATTCCCTGGACTCAGTGTTTCAGACTCTTTGAACTGTATCTTCCCAGGAATATTAATGTCAAACAAATGAACCTGTAATTATAGTATGATTAATAACAATTAATAACAATTTGTCTGCTTGGTACTTGAGCCTCTTTATTAGGCACATCTTTTCTAGTTACCATTATCTAGACTACTCTTTTGTCAGGATCTCAACTAAACATTGCTTAAAATTGTGAAATCTCCTAAAGACGATTTAAAGCAGTTTTCTTCTTTAGAGAAATATACATGTTTAAGTTATTTGGAAAAAAAAAATAAAAAAGATTGGCCATTTTAAACACCACATACAATCCCTATGACCCAAGTGATGCACGTATCAAATATTTATACTGCTTACCAAATAAAGTGCCCTTCTCCCATGCAGTAATAGTAGTTAAAACCAGCTGAAAATATAAGAATTAATTTGTAGTATGGCTCTATATCTTCTTAATGGAAAGAATCCCTGCAAAATAGCTAGATATCCTCATCTAATGCGTAGTTTTGCAAAAGAAAGGATACATATAAAATGTTTTTAATTTGTCAGGATAATTTTAAAGTACATGAAAGCAAGTGGTATTTTCCCCTCAAAGATTTGAGGCCCATTCCTGCAGAACTTCTCCAGAAAATACCTTCACCAAGTCATAACGTTCCCATGACTTTAGCTAGGCAGATGCCTCTTAGCCCCTGCAGACAGTTTTTATCCCTCTTTTGCAATGGAAGGTCCTGACTGGAGCTTCCCAATAATACATCAGTTTTTATATTATTACTTGGTCATATTTACACAGTGCAAGCCTGTACTCATTCTACAGACAACTACTGGGCTGGCAGACTGGTGTGGTATGACAGATGGAAGGCAACATAGTACTTCAGAAAATGATCTAATAGTGCAGCTAAATGTAGATTCAGTTAACAGAATAAATTAATACCTACACCCCAGAGGTGTTTTGCACCACCTCCTTTGTTCCAAGTAACCCTGCATTCTCTTTTCTGTTTTTCCTTGAAAGAAATAAGCTGTGTCTGCTGTTTGTGGTAGATGCTTAGTGTCGTCTTCCACCTGGCCATCGCTTTGTGCCTTCTGAGGAACTACCTCCTGTTCATAACTGTGGAGTGCAGTTTCTGTTAGTCTGATAATGCATACAAGTATCATTCCTTAGGTGAACAACAGCTTAACTATGGAACTTGGACTTTGGCTGTCTGCACTAATCAAACATACGGCACCCAAAGTACGTGAAGAACAGTATTTATGGTAACAGAAGGACTAAATCCATTGTAAACCTGAGGGGAAATCCTGATCCCACTTAAGTGGCACTATGTTTTAGACCTAGACCAAGGTAGACAGATGAGTGGGATCAGGATTTACTCTTTACCACAGTTTTCCCTGCATCTGGGAAAAGCCAAATATGCTTCTGTATTTTGTCATCCTTATCCAGAACAGATTTATGAGAACCTTTGGAAAGGGTGTTTACATGTCCCAGATAAAAATTACATGCAACTTTACTGACAGTACACAGCTTATTGTTAATTTTACCGACAGTACACAGCTTATTGTTAATGCAAGATTCTACTAATTCATATCACCTTTAGGCACAGATGGAATCACTTGTATGACACTGCTGAAAAAACTTTTAATAACAATTCTGCCATCTTACCTTCCTGTGCTTTGCCAACATATCACCATCAGGCCCAAAGACAGTACATGTATTATACAGCTTCCCACCGTCCTCTTCTGGAATGGATCCTTTGGGAAGGTGAGAACAAAGATTTCCTCCACTGCATTACATGGGATTTTGATCCAATGGCACTAACAGACATGGCGCTTTTTTCCCCTCAATGAGATGGTCACTAAGAGCAAACTACCTCCAATGAGATACACGCTGCACTCCTTTGCAACTTCTGAGAGCTTTTGTGTTGATTCCCCAGGGATCTTCTCGGCATACTCCTTAAAGTATTGGGTTCCATACGGAGAATTAAAACATTCCTAGAATTAGGGGGGAAAAAAAATTACGCTAAAACCCATTAACATCACTGCAAGGACATGTACTTCACCTTTCAAACTCCGCTCTATCCATGTTCTCATACAATCTTTAGTTTAGTTTACAGGAGCTCGATAAGCAAATCAGAAAATATCAGGAGGCCAGAGAGACCTTAAGAATTAAGAGAAAAATGCAGTGGGTGTGTTGGTGTGAACGTGCCAAACAGAACATGAGCTAGGACTCTCATGCAAGCTGCAAGTAGCAAGGCTGGCACATTTATCAGCCTAAACTCAGCAAGATCACAAGGGATGTTCTCATCAGAACAATGAACCAAGGTCCACCTAGCTCATTTGACAAGTTACAAGCTAAAGAGATCCTCTCAAAACTATGAAATGCCTGTGTTTGTCCACAGTCCAAAATGTCTTCATTTTTAAAAGTGTGCATCTCTCAAAATGACTATTTTGCTAAAGCAATCCTTTAAATGCCTGTTCCTCACAACTGAACAGTGCCTTCTCTCATAGGCTCTAGTTAAAGGTTTGCTATCCCTCAGAACAAGGCATGTAATCTTTAGACAGATTAATCTGTAAGATTAACAGAGCAGTTCAGATGCCTAAACTAGGTGGCCAGTGGTATTTGAGACACCCAAGATATCCAGAACTTTTATTCTGCATTATATTTGCCAGCTCTGTGAGGATGTGACACGTCCCTCCCAACACTTTTTTGTCCCCTGAAGGAGTACAGCTGAAGGCCAGAGATAAGCTATCAAACAGTACCAGCACCTACTCTTTGGCAAGCGATTCCCAGCCCAAACATCTGCCTCGATTGTTACCTGTGTTCACTGGAAGTTGTAGCAAGACCCCTCCAAAAAAAAGAGAAAAAGCTGTGAATAGTACAAGAAACATTTATGCCTTAAATGCTCAAGCAAACTTCTTAACAGCTGCAGGAGATTCTACTGAACTGGAATAACTGAACCAAAACGGGATAGATGCTTTTGCCTCATACACAAACACGGGACCAGTGGGTGCCAGCTAACCCACAGCAGAATTTGTAGATGGGAGAGGCAGGAGAAGAATTCTCTTCAGGCCGTCAAATGAGCTTCCCAGGCTTTTGGAAGCTGGACTGAACTTCAAGGAAAGGAAGGCAATGCCAGCTGCCTCCACACTTGCAGTGTCAGTACAGGTGGTACTGAAACCACGGGCTCAAGAGAAGAGGCAGAGCTCTGGGCAAGCTTGTGGTAGCAGTTTGTAAGTTGAGGCTGGAACAGACTGTCTGCACAGATCATCTAGTCCTGTGTGCTCCAAAGTGGTAAGAACACAGGGACAGATCTTTGAATTGCTTTATATCAGTTTCTAGATTTGAATGGATTCCTGTTTTTATTTCTTTATCCATAAATATTACGAATTGTTTTTCTCTCACAATTTTTTCCTGGGTCAGAAATGAAAAAAGTTTAACTGTCAAGGTTAGCATGTCACAGGAAAACTACCACGTGCCTCTGCAGAGGTATAGATTATATACTTAGAGCAAGTTATTTCTTTTCTTTATGTAGTGTGACTTTCAAAAAAACCAGGGAAGATAATATTTTATGCTCACATTCTAATGACAGTACAAAATTTACCTCACAAAAGTCTACCAAAAAACTTGCCCTTGTTTCACAAGTGTTACTCTGAAAGTATAAATTATCACTGGCAAAGTGAGTATTCTCAGCTAAACAGATCTGGGAAACTCAATGTGTGTACACACGATGAAACTAGCAAACAATAGATAATCTCAGTGTAGGAGGCCCAGACAGAATAATCAAAGGTCACATCTGCAACACCAGAGCTGCGTGAGCACAGAGAAGCTGGGAAGGTTGCTTAGTACTTCACCTGTGACAGCAGGAGGGAAAACATTCTGTGTGTAAAACATTCAGACCAAAAGTTCACCCAGAGAAGAACTTTGCACCCCTGAGTCAGATGCTGCAGGGCACAGGGGTAACACGAGTACCCCAGGAAGAGAGGGGAAGAAAAGCTCAAAGCTGCACTGGGAAGGTGTTGCCAGCACACTCATCGCTGTGGAAATTCAGCAAGGTAGTCATGGCTGAAGTCCAAAAAGTAAATCGGAAATTATCAGTAACTGTAAGTGGTTATTTATGTTCCCACACAAGGAAGTCACAAGATAAATGTGTTTTAGTCATAATTCAGCCATAAATGACCTGCTGGAAATATCTTAAGTCTATTTTGCTTCCCATGTACTATCTAATCTGGAATGATTTTGGCAAAGAGAGTCACTGTATACCTGTTTTCTTTCATCTTCATTTCAACATTCTTTAGCTGAAAATCGCCTTTTTCTACATTTCTAGCATGGAAGGCTTCTGCAAAGATTCAAACTACAGCATCACTTTTGTGAATTCAGAACACACCAGAATTGCCTGGGATTTAACCCAGCAAAAACCTAACCAGAATCTTATACCACAGAAAGACAACCTGCTTTGTTTTGTTTTGTTTCTTTTTTACCCCCTAAGTGTGCTGCTAGACAGAATACTGCCCCCCCTCCCCCGTTGGGTTGGGTTTTTTTGAGCTTCATACAGCATCTAAGCTATCCAGAGAGAAACAGGACTACAGAATGCATTAGCAACACTAGAAACAGGTTTCCAAGGTGTGTTGGGTTTGAGTGGGTGTGGCGGGGGGGGGAACTGGGAGAGCAAAAAGCTCCCCTGGCTCCAAGGTGA